ATACCATTTAAGTTTTTGGTAGATACCATTTTATCAAACTAAGCAAATAATCCTATTTCTAGTATCTAAAAGTAGGTATCATTTTAAAAGCTTGTTTTAATCTACTATAGTTCTCAAATGATTTTATTTTTGACAGAGAGAGAGACAGAGAGAAAGGTCTTCCCTCCGTTGGTTCACCCCCCAAATGGCCACCAGGGTTGGCACGCTGCGCTGATCCGAAGCCAGGAGCCAGGTGCTTCCTCCCGATCTCCCATGTGGGTGCAGGGCCCAAGCACTTGGGCTATCCTCCACTGCCTTCCTGAGCCACAGCAGAGAGCTGGACTGGAAGAGGAGCAACTGGGACAGAATCTGGCACCCCAACCGGGACTAGAACGTGGGGTGCCGACGCCACAGGTGGAGGATTAGCCTAGTGGTGCTGGCCTCAAATGATGTTAAAATATTAACTTACCTTCACACTTCTGGGATGTGTACTATTTGATTTTAAGTATCATGTTTAATAGACCACTGGAGTCAGTTACTAGTACCTTATTTTGGACAAGTCTGTGTTCATATTGGAAAAATGATCTGTAACTTTCCTGTACTGCTGTTACAAAGTATTATGAAACTTCTAAAATAGATACATAGTTTATCCTATCTTTCTGTAATCATTTGGTTAATATTAACTCATAAAATCTCACAGCTTGGTATTTTCATGGGGAGGAGGAAAAGGAATCTTCGAAATAACAAACTGCTTTAATATTCTTTTCTTGAGTCCACTGGATAAAAGATATTTCCTATAAAAATCATCCATTTCACTAAAGAATTTAACTATACTGGTAATCAACAGGTCATCAATCTTGTTTTATCAATATACCCACCCACAATATTTTACAGCAAATCCAAGATAAAAAATTTTATTTATAAAATTAAAGTATACACTTCTTTAAAAAAATTCTTTCTTTAGGGGCTGGCATTATGGTCACCTGCATCCCACATCTGAACACTAGCTGGGGTCCTGGCAGCTCTGCTTCCAATCCAGCTCCCAGCTACTGCACCTGGAAAGGCAGGGGAAGACAGCCCAAGTACTAGAGTCCCTGCCAACCATGTGGGAGACTAGGCTGGAGTTCCTGGCTTCTAGCTTTGGCCAGGCACAGACCTGACTCTTGTGGCCATTGGGAGAGTGAGTCAACAAGTAGAAAATCATCTTTCGCTCTCTCTGTTGTTTTTTCAAAGAAACAAATTTTTTAAGAAATTCTTTCATTAAAACATAAGCAAAACATCAGCAAAAATAAAAAATTATTTATGGCTGCAACAACTGGGTTGGGCCAGGCCAAAGCCAGGACCTAGGAGCTTCTTCTGGGTCTCCCACATGGGGGCAGCGGCCCAAAGACTTGAGTCATCCTCTGCTGCTTTCCCAGGCACATTAGAAGGGAGCTGGATTGGAAGAGGAGCACCTGGGACTCGAACCGGTACCCACACGGAATGCCAGCACTGCCATTGCTTTAACCTGTTGCGATGCAGTTGGTGTTGGCCCCTGGTTGGTGTTTTTTTAAACAGTTTACTGAGTTAATAATTAATGTGTTATATAATCCACACATGTAAAGTATATAATTCAGGGGCTTTTAGTATATTAACAGATGTTACAGTTATTAAACCATCACTACAAGATTAGAACATTTTTTGTCACCTCAAAAAGAAACCTATGTCCATTAACTATCACTACTCCATATCCTCCCATGCCCTCACCCCAACCCTAAGCAACAACCAGTCTACTTTTTATCTTTACAGGTTTTCCTATTCTTTACTTTCACATGAATGAAATCATATACCCAGTGGCCATGTGTGTCTGGCTTCTTTCACTCAACATGTTTTCAAGGTTCATGCACATTGTAGCATGGATGAGTACCTTGTTCCTTTTTATGGGTGAATGATATTCTTTCAGATGCATAATCATAATTTAGCCATTCACTCATTTGTTGATGGACATCTGGGTTGCTCCCTCTTATTGGCCACAGTGAATAGTGAGACCATTAACATTCATGACTTAAATATTAATGTATATTTATATATATATACACACACACACAAAATATATCTATTTTCTTTTGTGTATATATACACAATGTATATATTTACAACCATTTAATTCTACTATAGAATTGCTGAGTCATACGGTAATTCTATGTCTTTTTTTTTAAGACTTGTTCATTTATTTTGACAGGCAGAGTAACAAAGAGAGAAGGAGGGAGAAAGAGAGATCCTCCCATCCTCTTGTTCACTCCTCAAGTAGCCAGGACAGAAAGGGCTGGGCCAGGCCAAAACCAGGACCTTCTTCTGGGTCTCACACATGGGTGCAGGGGCCCAAGAACTTGGGTCATCATCTGTTTCTAATTTAAAAATTTACTTTATTGGGCAGGCACTGTGGTGTAGCAGTTTGTAAAGCAGTTGTCTGCAGCTCCAGTCTCATATGGGCACTGGTTCCTGGCTGCACCACTTCTGTTCCAGCTCTCTGCTAATGTGCTTGGCAAAGTGGCAGAAGATGGTCCAAATCCTTGAACCCCTGCATCCATGTAGGAGACCCAGACGAGGCTCCTGGATCCTGGCTTTGGACTGGACTAGTCCAGACCACTGCAGCCATTTGGGGAGTGAATCAGCAGATGGAAGCACACGCTCACAAGTGCTTACTAGTTCTCTCTCTCTGCCTCTCCTTTGTAGCTCTTTCAAATAAACAAACAAATCTTTAAAATTTTTTATTTTATTTTTTATTTGAAAGGCAGAAAGAGAGAGAGAGAGAGAGAGAGAGAGAGAAAGAAGGAGAGGGAGTAATCTTCTATTAGTTAGTTCCCCAAATGCTGGCAAACAGCTAGGGAGGGGCCATGTCAAAGCCAGGAACTGAGAATTTCATACTGGTCTCCCACAAATAAATGAACCATCATCTTCTGCCTTTCGGGGTATGTACTGGCAGGAAGCCAGATGGGAATCAGAGCAGCCAGGACTCAAAACAGGTACTCTAATATGGGATGCAGGCATCCCAAGCAACTTAACCAACAAAACACCAAACGTTTGCCCCTTCACTGAGGTCTTGATTTGCATTTCTTTCATCATTAAATCATGTCTTACATATGTTTGTTGATCATTTATATTATATATCTCTTTGGAATAATGTTTATTCAGATCCTTTGCCGATTTTGATGTTATTGTTAATAAATTATTTAAGAGGTAGAGAGACAGAGAGATTTCACACGTGCTGGTTCACTATCCAAAGGACCACAATGGGCTGGCGCCGCAGCTCAATAGGCTAATCCTCCGCCTGCGGCGCTGGCACCCCAGGTTCTAGTTCCGGTCAGGGTGCCAGATTCTGTCCTGGTTGCCCCTCTTCCAGGCCAGCTTTCTGCTCTGGCCTGGGAGTGCAGTGGAGGATGGCCCAAGTGCTTGGGCCCTGCACTCGCATGGGAGACCAGAAGAAGCACTTGGCTCCTGCCATCAGATCAGCTCGGTGCATCAGCCACAGTGCACCAGCCACAGCGGCCATTGGAGGGTGAACCAATGGTAAAGGAAGACCTTTGTCTCTGCCTCTCTCTCTCACTGTCCACTCTGCTTGTCAAAAAAAAAAAAAAAGAAAGAAAAAGAAAAAGAAAAAGAAAAAAGGACCGCAATGGACAAGACATGGCCAAAGTCAAGAGCTGGAAACTCAAGCCAGGCCTCCCAAGTGGGTGCTCCCAGGGTCTAGAGTCAGGGCTAGAGGCAGTATCAAACCCTGGTACTCTGATACAGGTGATGGCCATCTTAGCCACTAGGCCAAAAGACTGCCACTGTCCATTAAAATACATTCTACCCACCGCCCAAAAAAAGGTTTATTTTCTGAAAGGCAGAGTTACAGAGAGGCAGAGAGGCAGAGAGAGAGAGAGAGAGAGAGAGGGAGGGAGGGAGGGAGAGAATGACTCTCCCACCCATTGGTTCAATTCCCCAAACAGCTGTAACAGTTGGGACTGAGCCTTATTTGAAACCTGGCTGTTCCACATCCAATCCAGCTCCCTGCTAATGTGCCTGGGAAGCACCGGAAGATGGCTCAAGTGCTTGGGCTCCTGCACCCATGTGGGAGAACTGGAAGAAACTCCAGACTCCTGGTTTTGGCCTGGACTACCTCTGGCTGTTGTGGCCCCCTGGGAGTTAAATCAGCAGATAGCAGACCCCTCCCTCCATTCCTCTCTCTTTAAAAAAAATAAATAAATAAAAAATAAATTTTTTTAAAAAATTTATTAGACAGGGAGAGTTACACTGAGAGACAGACAGAAAGGTCTTCCTTCCGTTGGTTCACTCCCCAAATGGCTGCCACAGCCGGCGCTGCACTGATCCAAAGCCAGGAGCCGGGTGCTTCTTCCTGGTCTCCCAATGCGGGTGCAGGGGCCCAAAAACTTGGGCCATCCTCCACTGCCTTCTCGGGCCACTCTTTCAAACAAATGAATAAATCTTTGGGACCGGAGCTGTGGCACAGCAGGTTAACCCCCTAGCCTGAGGCGCTGGCATCCCATATGGGTGCCGGTTTGAGACTCGGCTGTTCTACTTCCGATCCAGCTCTCTGCTAAGGCCTGGGAAAGGAGTGGAGGATGGCCCAAGTCCTTAGGTCCCTGCGCCCACGTGGGAGACCAGGAAGAAGCTCCTGGCTTCAGATAGGCACAGCTTCAGTCGTAGCAGCCAATTAGGGAGTGAACCAGAGGATGGTAGACCTCTCTCTCTCTGCCTCTCCTCTCTGTGTAACTCTAACTTTCAAATAAATAAATAAATCTTTTAAAAAAATGAATAAATCTTTAAACAAAAAAAGAAAAATTTGAAAAGAGACTGAACTAAAATACTTCCAGAGTACTTTCTAACTTAAATGTCATGATTCTATGATTCTTACCAATTTTGTTATTTTAAATTAGGGTACTCACCTAGACCTAATGCCTAACTTATCCCATTATTCAATATTCTGAAAAAGAGAGCTCTTTAAGTTTGTCAAAAGGCATACAACCAATGCATACCTGTCGAGATTAGTACCACCAGCAGCGTAGTCCTTGGATCCAGCTCTGCTACCATAAAATGATGATGACTGCAAAGGTAAAAGCCCTTTAAAATAAATGAACAAAGGAAAACTTTAATTCCCAAGTCAATCATTCAAGTTCATTTCATAATAAAAGTACACATTGGGTATCTTTGTATTCTTTTTCTTTTAATCAAAGTAAAATATATACAAATACTGTGAGAAAAGTTATAATAGTAAAATAATACTCCTTTGCCCCAAACTTCTACAAGTTTTGTTCCTGAATTGTAAAGAACTTTTTTAGAGCCAGAGTGGTGGTACAGTGGGTTAATCTGCCACCTGTGATGCCAGCTTCCCTAGTTGAGTGACTGTTCAAGTCTTGGCTGCTCTACTTCCAATCCAGCTCCCTGCTAATACAACTGGGAAGAAATGGAAGATGGCCTAAGTGCTTGGGTATCTGCCACTGATGTGGGAGACCCAGACAGAGCTCCACACTCCTGGCTTCAGCCTGATCAGTACTGACTATTATGGCCATTTTAGGAATGAACCAGTGGATAGAAGTCTTTGTCTCTGTCTCTTCCTCTCTTGGGCTCTGCCTTTCAAAATAAATAAATAAATAAATTCCTCAAACTATTTATTGAAGATGCAGAGAAAGACACAAAAAGGGAGTATGCTCATGCTTCCACCCACTGGCCTCTCCCCAAATGTCCATGATGAGTAGGAGGGGAGGGGTGGTAAAGCCCAGAGCTGGGATCTCAGTGCAGATCTCCAACTGACAGAGCCATCATCACTGCCTTCCAGGGTCTGAAATAGCAGGAAGCTGGAGTCAGAAGGCTGAGTCAGGAACTGACGCCAGGCAATCCAGCATGGGTGTGGGCATCTTATCCGGTATGTCAAGCGTTCTTCCCCCTCTTCCCACCACCATTTTCTTTATTTTATTTTATTTTATTTATTTTATTTTATTTTTTTGACAGGCAGAGTGGACAGTAAGAGAGAGAGACTGAGAGAAAGGTCTTCCTTTGCCATTGGTTCACCCTCCAATGGCCGCCACGGCCGGCGCGCTGCGGCCGGTGCACCGCGCTGATCCAATGGCAGGAGCCAGGAGCCAGGTGCTTTTCCTGGTCTCCCATGGGGTGCAGGGCCCAAGCACCTGGACCATCCTCCACTGCACTCCCTGGCCACAGCAGAGGGCTGGCCTGGAAGAGGGGCAACTGGGACAGAATCCGGCGCCCCGACCGGGACTAGAACCCGGTGTGCCGGCACCGCTAGGCGGAGGATTAGCCTAGTGAGCCGCGGCGCCGGCCCCCACCACCATTTTCTGTTAGTTTTCTGATTTCTTCCATAGGGATAGATAATGAATTTTTCTATTTCTTGACTTATTAATTTTAAGTAATCAGTTGACTCCTTATTATAGATTAGAAATGCTGTATGCAATAATTCCAAGATCTTCTGAAGTTTATATTAAGCAGCAATATCAATAAACTTTAATTTCAACCACTTTATCTCCTCTGATTTATTCTACAGGCCAGGTACTTAGATAATCAAACAGCTTAATTCCAGACAGTCAAGTAGGGAAGAAAGCATAGCCAAATTATTATAAATAATGCAATTTTTTAATATTTCTATACTTCAAAATTTTTAGCCAACTACTGGGTATAAATTGGTGCCCAATAGTTAGTACCAGATTATGAGGTATTTCTGAGTAAGGTAAAAATATATGACCCAGTTTAGGCTTTTATTTCCAGTCTAACACAATATATCAGATAATAAATGAGTAGCTTATATAAACTTACCTGGTGTCCGATTCTCTTCTGACTGTTTCAAACTCAACTGTTTTTCTCTACTGCTGGTTAAATATTTTCTTGAAGGATCTGTCATAGCCTTGTTGTTCCTACATTCAATAATTTTAAATCAATATAGAATAGGTGTACAAATATACTGTTTTTAGTTTTGAATAGTTATCATTAAAAAAGCTGACATTTCTAGTGTAAAACTCATCGATATGCATGAAAGTTAGGCTATAAGCTTGCTAAACCTTCAAGAGGTCAGTGACTTAAGCAAATGAAAATTATGAAAAGTTTTTCTTACCAAGTCAAGAGCCAATGTAGTTCTTGACTTTGGTCATTCAGCAAAACTAGAGCTTTTTTTTTTTTATGCTCTCCAACTTTTCATCTGAGTTCATTTTCCATATGCCTCAAAGCTATCCTTCAGTACTTTTTTTAGTACTTACTTGATGGTGAACTCTCTGTTTTGTATAAAAAAGTGCCCAGGGAGGAAAAAAGTATCATTATATTCTTAGACTGTATCTATGAAATACATTACGGGGCCGGCATTGTAGTACAGCAGGTAAAGCCGCCGCCAGCAGTGCCAGCATCCCATATGGGTGTTAGTTCGAGCCTTGGCTGCTCCACTTCCAATCCAGCTCTCTGCTGTGACCTGGGAAAGCAACAGAAAATGGCCCAAGTCCTTGGGCCCCTGCACCCTCATGGGAGATCCAAAAGAAGCTCCTGGCTCCTGGCTTTGGATCGGCTCGGCTCTAGCCATTACAGCCATTTGGGGAGTGAACCAGTGGATGGAAGATACCTCCCTACCCTGCCTCTCTGTAACTCTGCCTTTCAAATAAAAAATAAACTTAAAAAAAATTGCTGTAGTCTTTTTAAAAATAAATAAATAAATAAAGGCTTTATTTGAGTCCATAGTTCTACAGATGCAAAGTTGAGGGACAGCACTGGGTGATGGTCTTCTTGCTGGCAGAGTACTACAGAGGTGCTGGGTATCACACGGAGAAAGACAAGGGCATCGTGTGTGTCTCTGTTAGCCCCTCTCCCTCTTCTTAAAAAGCCACCAGGATTCAATCATGGGGGCTTCACAATGATGACCTCTAAACACCATGATTGGGTTCCAGGGAATGATGAGGGTGATCTCGGTTCTTGCCTCACATGGAAGAAGAGTTTATACATAGACAGGACAGTGAACAAAGAACAATTTATTTAAGTCAGAAACCTTCTGCTTGCAGCAGTCAGGAGGAGAGTTTCAAGGAAAGAATACCCTGAAGCATTTTCTTTATGTGAAAGTCAAATTAAAGACAAATTATTTTCTAGACCAAAAGCAAGACCAAATGAAATGATATAAACACTAAGACCAAAAGAATAAATTATTAAGTAAACCATCCAAGCTTGATACTTTAAAAATGTAAAATAAAAAGGAAAATGTTCTTATGTTCCAGGTGATTTGAAATATTGTTTGCTAATATTAACATCGTTTCTATTTATAGTGACAATTCATGAACACAAAGTTAAAAACTTGAACAAGTCCCCGCCCCCCAATTATTCCCAAATATCTGAGCTCATATAATTAGTGTCCATTACACTAACTGTCATGCTTTGGTTAGAACTGCAAATTCCAGGGAACTATCATGCATTAAACCTGCAGTGGGGCTGACGCCGTGGTAAAGTGGGTAAAGCCGCCTCCTGCAGTGCCAGCATCCCATATGGACGCTAGTACAAGTCCTGGCTGCTCCTCTTCCGATCCAGTTCTCTGCTATGGCCTGGAAAGCAGTAGTAGATGGCCCAGGTCCTTGGGCCCCTGCACCCATGTGGGAGACCTGGAAGAAGCTCCTGGCTCCTGGCTTTGGATCAGCTCAGCTCTGGCCATTGCAGCCATCTGGGGAGTGAACCATCAGATGGAAGACCTCTCTCTCTGCCTTTCTTTTTCTCTCTGTGTAACTCTTTCAAATAAATAAATAAATCTTAAAAAAAAAGTGAGAAACATCATGGATGAGTGAAAGTATTAACAACAACAACAACAAAACATCTGCAGTGGCTCCATCAGATTTCCTCTAACTCATTTTTGTGTTCTCTTCCAGAGTTTCACACCTACTTAGGTGTGTTTTTAATAGCCAGTACCAGCCGGTGCCGAAGCTCACTAGGCTAATCCTCCGCCTTGCAGCGCCGGCACACCAGGTTCTAGTCCCGGTCGGGGCACCGGATTCTGTCCCGGTTGCCCCTCTTCCAGGCCAGCTCTCTGCTGTGGCCAGGGAGTGCAGTGGAGGATTGCCCAAGTACTTGGGCCCTGCACCCCATGGGAGACCAGGATAAGCACCTGGCTCCTGTCATTGGATCAGCGTGGTGCACAGGCTGCAGCGCGCCGGCCGCGGCAGCCATTGGAGGGTGAACCAATGGCAAAGGAAGACCTTTCTCTCTGTCTCTGTCTCTCTCACTGCCCACTCTGCCTGTCAAAAAATAAAATAAAATAGCCAGTACCTAGGGCTCTTCTTCCTGTGGCTGCCCTCAAGCTACTAGAGATCCTTTGCCTGCTATCTGAGATTGCAAGTAAGATCAGGTGCTGAAGTACAGAAGTACAGCACCCTTACCTTGGATTACAATGACTTTAAGGAAGCAGATTTCTTCTCTAGGATCAGAATGAAGACTGACATCTGTACTGACTTTTTTTTAAGATTTCTTTTTATTTAATTGAAAAACAGAGTGACAGAGAGAGGTAGAGACAGAGAGAGAGGGGTCTCTCACCCACTGGTTCACTCCCCAGATGGCCGCATTGGCCGGAGCTGAGCTGATCCACAGTCAGGAGACAGGATCTCTGGGTCTCCAATGTGGGTACAGGGGCCCAAGATTTGGGCCATCTACTACTGCTTTCCCAGGCCTTAGCAGAGAGCTGGATCGGAAGAGGAGCAGTCGGGACTAGAACCAGAACACATATGGAATGCCGGCGCTTCAGGCTGGGCTTTAACCCACTGTGGCACAGTGCTGGCCCCTGTATTGACTTTTGCCTACGATCACACACATGTTCCGTTTCCTGTCCTTCACTACCCTTCTTCTCCCACACCCTCTGTTCTCCCCTGGGAGTAGTATTTCCTTATTAATTCATTTGCACAACTAATCTCCATTTCAGAGTCTGCTTCTGGAAACTTGATATTTAACAGTTGGTATTCTATGTGGCCTAGAAAGCCCACTCGAACTGGATCACTTGTTCAGCAACAAATATTCTTTTGCTGGTGGTAAGAATTCTAGGTATTCTACAGTGCTACAATTTGTGAGTTTTCATCTATGATACATTGGGATGGAAGCATGTAGAAGGGTATATGGTTCATATATCTTTAGCATTTTACAAACATGGCAGAATGAATGCACAATAGTTTTTATTGAGACAATGGAAATGTCCTAAAACTGGACTATGATGGTATAACACAATCACTGAGTTACATACCTAAACCAGGTGAATTTTAAGTTATGTAAATTATACCTCAAAAAACTTTTAAAAAATTTTGAAATTATTCCCCTCCCTGTAGCTAAGCCTCCCATAAAGATACATTCTAGGGTAGGCATTTGGCATAGTGGTTAAATTGCCACTTGGGATGCCAACATCCCATAGTGGAGTGCCTAGGACAGTGTCCTGGTTCTACTTCTGATTTCAGCTTCCTGCTAATGTGCACCCTGGGAGGCAGCAGGTGATGGCCTGGGTGTGTAGGTCCCGGCCACCCACAATGGAAACCTGGATTCAATTGTGGGCTCCTTGCTTTGGTCTAGGCTGGACCTGGTTGTTGCAGACATTTGGGAAATGAACCAGCAGATGAAAGATCTGTCTTTCAAATAAACACATCTAATAAGAAAGTACAGTTTATTTCTTCATCTCTTAGTGGGATTGGCTTTATGATTTGTTTAAAATAATGTGACAGAAGTTAATAGTGTGTGAATTCTAATCTTAAGCCAAAAAGACTTGCAAATTTTTTACTCACTCTGTTGGAATTCTGCCATTGCTATGAGAATAATGCAGGCTAGCCTGCTAGATGGTCAGACACATGGCCAATCACTCTCATTACCCCAACTGACAGTCTGTCAATGGTCAGTTATTCGAGTGAGGCCATCCTAGACCAGACAGTCCCTAGCCAATGCACCTACTGATCACAGATGCATAAGAAAATGAGAGAACTGAGGCTGGCGTTGTGGCGTGGCAGGTAAAGCTGACTCCCACTATGCTGGCATCCCATATGGGTGCCAGTTCATGTTCCAGCTGTTCCATTTCTGATCCAGCTTCTTGTTAATATGCCTGGGAAAGCAGCAGCAGATGATCCAAGTAGGGAGACTGGAAGAAACTCCTGGCTCCTGGCTTTGGCCTGGCCAAGCCCTGGACCTTGTAGCCATCTGGGGAATGAATGGATAAATCTCTCAATCTCTCTCTCTCGCTCGCTAACTCTGACTTTCAAATAAATAAATCTTAAAAAAAGAAAAAGAGAGAATAGAGGTGCATTATACCAAGCTGGCCCCAAATAAGTAGGACCACCCAGATGCACATAAATTCATAAGCACTAACAAAACAGTTACTATTTGAAACCACCAGACTTTGGGATGGTTTGTTATACAGCAACAGAAACTTGACACAATAAATACCTCATGGGGCAAATGATTCTTGTAATCATAAAGGCTACAGAATTGTCTGGTTGTCGCCAAGTACTGATTTGCTCAATAAAGAAAATGACAGGCTTCTTTGAGCCAATTACCAACTTAAGGACAAGGATATCATATACAGTCACTCACCCACAGGAGAGTTATGGCCTGGGACATTAAGACTCTAAAGCAAGAACATTCTGTCTGTAGCAGAAAATTAAACGTCACCTGTAAAGTGTGTCATACTACTCTTGGCCTATTATTAGGCCTGGGAAGAGAATGAGCATAGGACCATTGTCAAGGGACTATGGAACCACAGCTAAACGACGTGAGCTGGGTGCTATCACACCAATGAAATCATAAGGTTGGGGCAAGGTGGGGAAGACGGACAGTATCAATGCATTGTAAAACAGAAGAAGTTACAGTGGGAGTGCACCCAAGTAAGCAGGAATAGATAAAAAGAATAGGTCTTATGGGCATTCCCTAAGAT